GATTACGGTAGAAACTTGAAACATATGGTGTCAATGTGGAAAAAGCTGTCGTTTCAAAATTTTTCAAAAAAAATGTGAAAACTTGTGTAATAGGGTTTTTATGGACGCTGAGTTCAATACTCAACTATTCACAAGATTGCGAAGCTTTCTAAACGGTGTAACCGCACTTTTTAGGAACATTGAGAAAATGGCCGCTACCTCTTACCTGGCATAACTCTTCAATGAAGCATCATAATAAGTTGCGAACTTTACAGTCAGAATCAGCAACTCTAATTAGCCTAGGGTAAAAGTTTTCAGGCTGTTTTGTTTCCTTTCTGAGGCAAAATATGGCCTTTCATGGCTCAAAACCCTCTTTGAAGTTCCTACCGTAATCCTACAGTAATGAGAGGAGACCGGCGATTCGCTCCATACTGTGAATCTAAGTTGAAGCCAGCTCTACAGTATGGTGCTTAAAGCTCGGCAAAAGACCTCCTGGGAACGGAGATATTAACGATCAAACAGTGCATACATACTTTACGGACACCCTGTATATAACTAAGTATAAATTGTGATGATATTATTGATTGTTAATACCTTTTATAGCTTACAAAGGTGAATAAAGAAACAAATTGTAGTTTTCGATATAGTGCGTTCTTGTCTGTAGCTCAGTTCATGAGCGACTGCACTAATCTCATCACCAAAAATTTTTTGAAAAGGAGTATTCGAAATATAAAGCTCAGATTTGCTAAACGTCTTTAGATTAGAATGAAAAAGCATACCTGGTTTATCGTTTCCTGTCAAAATACAAAGCAATCGATTCCGTCTCCGATTTGAAAGTTAACAACAGCATGCACTCTATATTTTTATGGGACATAAAAGTAGCGTTATACTTTTGGCGTGAATGTCTGTTGAACCAACACTGCACTTGTAATGTAAATTTTCTAATTCTTCGCATTTTTCATTCACTTCTTCCACCTTCTGCCTAACTCTGCCTCATCTAGATCAACGAAATGTTTCTATTACATCTCTTGCTACTTCCAACATATGCAAACGCTAAGACAAGCTTTTCTAATGAGACCCGGAGAGAGTTCTTTTCCGCACTTACGTAAAAAAAGTTTGTTATTTATTCTGTGACATTAATAAGCAGTTGTTGACGTATGTGGTTCCATTAATCGGTTACTAATGCTTCTATTCATGCCCCCCCCTCACAGTGTAGCTCCCTGGCACAACTCACCACATGATCGAGCTCTTGATAACATTTTTTTCCTTTTTTTCGATCAGTAATATGTAAGTCAGAAGTGAGAGGGAGAGAGTGAGAATAAAACGGAATCTCGCATTCATGTCTGAACTATTTTATAAAACATAAGCAAAAAATCCGTTGGTGAGTCAAAAATGGAATTTTCGATAAAATAGCAGAACGGGAATATTTTTAAGAAGTTTCCCCCTGAATTACTTGTATAAAGCGGGGGTCAATTTTGCATGTATATATAACTTTAACATACATCTCTTTGTTCTAATGCACACTATCTCCATCTGCTTTCGATTGTTGGCTTCTGCAATGCTTTACCAATGAAGGAGCTTTTTTAAGTGGTGTAGAGTGATTCATAATGATAGTTTATTAAGCGGGTTTAATACCAAAGTCTCAACAAGAACTATTGCTTTCTATTATGTCGATTGTTGTGAGTAAATTCTTAAGAATCTTGATTGGCACCAGTTCCTTTCTGCTGCATTTAAGTGATTAGCTCGATTTTGTGGCTCTGCAGTCTTAAAGACATTACCCTTGTTCTGCTACGGTACTGTTCCTAGTAGACTACCGTAGGCAACTTTGGCTTGCGTCGTTAATACGCGTTCTTCTTGCCGTTCGCCGCTATTTAAGGTAGACATCTTTGATAATTTTATGGCACAAAGGTGCAATAAAAGAGCAGCTCGTTTGTTTTGGTTTTTATCAATTGATGTACAGAGCTAGTATCCTACTGCCTGGTGAAGTACAACTGCTTAAGAAAAATTTGCGCATTACAAAACTAAACATTTCTAGTAAAGGGTGCCTCCTGGAGCTTAAATATACTACATCGCATTATGCAACTCGTAACAATGCTGACTTGAAGTGTGCGACTAATGAAGAGAACCATTAACATTCGAAGGAAATAAGAAATGTAACGTAGCCTTTTGAAAGCCGCGCATACTTCACGCGATTTCAGTCGCTACGCGATTTGGCAATTCGTCAGGAGTCTTCAGATCCAACACTAGCAAAGTGCGCATGCATATGTGTATAACTTACGTGGATTGATGAAATGCCTATCTTCTGTACACTTAAAATGTGCTTACAGTGAGTTATGGACAGGTGGAATATTGCCAACTCGCGTCGCGACTAAAATCGCATAACTAAGGCGTTCGCAGAGAATATAATTCAGAGAAATGATGTCTATTCGCAGAAAATAAAATCGGAAGACGACGAATTTTTATCAGTTTTAGTTTAGGTCTAGTTGGATTTTTGAGAAGAAAACATCAAAAAGCACCAAGAATTTGCCGAATAGACATTGCCAAAAAATATCGCCAAAAAGGTAGATTCGATGAGCTTGTGTTGGGTGTTTGTAGGATGAAGAATAATTATGGAAGAATGATGAGTGGAAGAGCTATAATGATATAAAGTCTCCTAATCACGAGAAGTACAGGTTACAGTGAGATCCTAGTTTGTTGCCCTTCTTCAATGCCAAAATGTTTTTGCAAAGTGCTCTGACTAACAAAACGCGAGACTGGGCAACTCGTTGAATGACACTTGCGGAAGAGTAGAAAATTTGTTTTTCGCAAATTTGTCTTGTGAAACTTGAGTAATGCCTCGATGATTTGCTTGAAATTCCTTCGTCACCGTCGGTGATTCTGAAGTTTCTGAGAATGTGATAAGCTTCACAGAGCCGCACAAATGCATCTTCGTGTCCAATCAGAGCCTACAGCTAATGAGACTTTTCATGTTCACAATTAACCCTCGTTAGTCCTACATGTTTACTCAAGCATTTCTTTTTGATCAGTCAATCTGCAAGAGAGATTTTTTACATTCTTTAGGTGGTTCGTTGTGAACATTTGATATATGCTAGATCGTTGACATTTATTCTTTTTTGACTGGTGTGCGCTAAGGCTTTTCTGATTCATCTAAAAAGCAAATATCACTGCGGCTTTAACATAAGCAAAAGAGCAAACATCCTTCATGACAGGTAGGTTGATCAACAATTAGCTGCTTTAATCGAAGTTCGACGAGTTACTGGAAATTTCTTGAGCCCTCTATTGTGAGATATGATCAGATCATGTTTAGTATTCACACTCTTCGGTAAACAAGCTTGTCCCTCTTTTGCTGTCTGGAATATAAAAGGGGAGTGTTTGGGTTGATTTTTTGTGCTATTAGTTGTGAGAAATTACACACTGATGCATGGGCAATCGAGCATTGAACGGTCGTAAAGATAGACTAACGCTTGAAATTTGCTAGATTTAATCCTAATAAGGGCTTAACGGGTTTAAAAAGTCTATATGTGCTTTCAGTAAAGATCGGAACTGGTATGAGCACATGAAAAGCAGGTCTGAGTAAGAATAACTTCCACTAGATAGATGTGTTTTGCTTTCTGCGTTCTTCGTTCTTTCCAATCTTATCATATCACTCGAGAATAAGAAAAAGTACATTTTCTAACAAATGCGTATAGAGATTGTCACTTTGAAGGACATTCACACTAAACAAAGTCTTTGCTATGCCCACCAGGATGCTTATCCATCTTCAAAAATATCAGCTGCCGAACCCTAATAAAATCACAATGACAAGATCAATAACTAAAGGAACGTTAAATTCTCCCATGTTATTTACGCGCTTTACGAAATTTGCTCACATGAGATCGTCTTGCTATTCGCGAGCACATTTTCGTGTCCACAAAATTATCAGGCAGGCGAGCGACGTATTAGCTACGTACAAAACTCCGATATGCCATACCACTTTTACGAACGAATTCAGCTTAAGACTTTCAGTTTTAATGAAATTATATTAGGTCGTGTAATAAGTTCCGTCCCATTTTTTGTTTTAATTTTTTCTTGACAGCATTGACTGTATTTGAGATAAAGCGTATATGCTTTTGAAAGCTCTAAGTCTGCTCTATAGGCTCATATGCATCATTCAGCAAGGTAGCATGAAGTTGAAAAAGATTTTTATCATTGAAATAAAAAATCCAAAGAGCCAAAAAATCAATTTTCGACATCTTTTTCTCCTCCAAATTTTTCTCGATTTTTATTGGTAAGTTATGAAACAAGCTTGACAACAATCAAAACAATCTATTAGACTTTCGCACTTATTCTATCAGTGTTTGCGCATGTTCCGTTCCTTCCACCGGCTATTTAATGACATTTTTTAAGAAGTCGGCAAAGCAGGACTTTGCCACGGCGATGTTCGCCGTGTCGCATGCCCAAGCTGTGTGGCTCCCAAAATTCGAACTTTGAGTATTTAACCTACAAACTCGATAATTTTGAAGCCACAAACCATCCCTTCTGTCATTTCTGGACGATTCGCCTATCGCCTTCCCTCAGGATGCCTTCAGATGATGCCCAACACCAACGTTGAAAAGGCGTTAGAAAGAAGACTTTTTTAAAAATTTACAGAGATGATTTTTGAAAAGTCTCAGCACTTCTGAAACGCAATAGAAGCTGGAGTATTCTTTGCTTACGTGTAGCAAATTTCTTCGAGCTTATTCGTAGGCATTCTGACTAATTGGAAAGGCGACGTAACGTAGTTGTCGAAAATGGACTTTTCCCTGTCTGATTTTCCAGATTTTACGCTGTAAAACTTTTTCAGATCATCTGATGTAGAAATCCGAAATGAAAGTTTTGGTAGAGAAGGCTTAGAGCTTTCATATGCATATAAATACTTTACGGAACATCGCGCAAAATATCGAAAAAATATCGAAAGAAAAAATGGGACAGAACTTATTGCACAACCTAATACTTATTTTGCAGGCCCGAGTCATTGCTCGAATTTCTCATCAGTAGTTTTCATGCTGGGGTGCTTTTACATAAACACGTCGAAACCGCATTTCAAATCCAGGTAAGCACTTCGAACCTCGTCGAAAAAACCGTTATTTGTTTTAGTCACCGGATTTACATTAAAGGTGAGGAATGTGTCTAAATGTAGCAATCACCATTTTGATTAATGACCAACTTTGAGACAGCCAAATCCCCATACACATTGACGAAATCAACTTGGATTTTATAAGAGAATTAGTACCAATTGATTACTGATTCACGCCCTCTTTTCGAAGATTTCCATGTTCGAGAAAAAATTAAGCATGACAGAAATGTTTTTGTGCCGATCCACTCCACCAGCCACTCTAAAGTTTTCTCGGGCGACCGCTGCTATGCAGCGAGTATTCTGTTTTAGTTTCGTTGTGATGTATATAACCTGATCAACACTTTTTTGAATCTGCTGCAGTACCACATTTAGTCTATCTGCTTTTTGTGACTGATTTCAATGTTGATTCGCATGCTGCGCAAGAACACGTAACCATTTCTAGAGGATTCAAGGCAATTTTCAACAAGCTGAGAAGGATGAAGGGGGGCGACGTCGAGTTCCACATTGTTGCTGTGACGTGCTTGTTTCGTCACTATGTTGAGTACAGTCAAATACCATTTAGGATACTGGCAATGAGTACATACATGTTGCGTAACTGCTTCTAAAACCGCGGCGGTCTCTTTCTCTTCGCGTGGGAATGTTTTCGCTAGACGAAGTCACCGCGTAATTTTACTTTTGTTCCTTATTGCTGACGTTGCGCGAAGTATCCCCGTACTTGAGAAGTCATGTCCTTTTGACTCAGCAGCGCGCATTTCGACGTCACAAGGGGATGGACAAGACATTTCTACTTCACAATGAAATTTGCTAAAGAAAGATTGAAGTGGGCGGGTGAGAGGAGAGGGAAGTGAGATACAAGAGAACTATGTTATAAGTCTGAAAAAGTAATAAATACTGTTTATTGAGTTTCCTCTTTCTTTTCTTACAATTATAGATCAAGGAAGTTATCAGAAGGTTCTTTATATTCTCACTCACTATCTCATATATGCATATAAATTGTGATATATAAAATAATATAAACAGTTCTTGTACGCCAAATGCAATAATTTCGAGACTATAAAATCATTGCAAGACAAATCATAGGTCAAGTTGCGCACCATTAAAAACTCATATGATTAACAAAGGTCTACATATAGAGTCTTGAGTGATTAACTTGAAAAGTTTATCATACTTCCTTCATAGCAGATTTTCTGGAAATGCATGCCTTCATATTTCAATTTCGAATTTACCATCGCCTCTTACTTGCACACTAATCATAGAAGCTCTCCAGTACAGTCGTTACTACATCTTTACTGCACTTTGTTATCCAATTTACTTCTGTGCTCGTCTATCACTTGATCTTATGTCTCGTTTTTATGCATAACAATATATTAAGAAGTTTTTCCCTTTTTGTAGTTGGAATCGCGAGCCTAAATCTCAAACATACCGAGCTCGATGTAGCCTTGTATATCAGTCGTTATCTTCAGAACTCCGAACTACTTGTTAGAGGCCAATGGTCAACTAGAGTAGATACTCATGTTTTGGTAATTTACCAATTATTCAGCCTTTCGAAAATGTTCAAATCAAAGCAGAAGCTGGAAAGCAGAACTTAACCACGAAAATGTCTAATTTTCTTCATCTGCTTTCGGCGATTATATAAACGTGTCCAAAATTCGACCTTCTAGCTAACTGTGTAATGCACGAGTGCAATGACATAAGTAATAAAATTTTATTGTATTTGAAATATGATTGTCACTCGCTACCGAAATAATCGCGCGCAATATCATCTACCTTCCTCCTTCAAATCGGGTTTCTTTTTTGTGGCATTTATAGGTTGCTCGAGGTTTCGAAGGTCGAATGTTTCAGAGTACATCTGAAGCTTATAAAAACTAGTGGCGACATCAGAAAAAAAGTTCATGCAACGAAAGGGCTAACTGTGAGTATGTTCTATGTATTTATCTGATCTCCGATTATAACAGTCTCTGGAATCAGCAACTTGGCTGAGTTATCCGTATTAGATTGTGAACAATGCATGAGTTGAAAGCTGAGATAGGAAAGCTACATCAAATGTGAAGTAGTCTATTTTTTTTTTCGAAAAACGGCGCACAATCGCTCGAGTCATATGATTCACTGTAACGTGGCCATATCTCGCTTTTTAGTGGACAAATTCTTAATCCAAGGGGACCGTTCGACTCAGCTCGCCGCAGCGCAATTTCTGATAAAGTGCCCGTTGGACACAGTGGGAGGCCAGATTTCAAGAATCGTTTCAGATTTTGCTTGCGGTAGGTTGCCCAGTGTGCATATGCATTGCACTCACTGGTAGCCTACAAGCAAAAATTTGAAACAATTTGTGGTATCTGGCCCTTTACTGTTTTCAGACAGGCACTTCTTTACATCAGAAAATGCGCCGCGCCGAGCTGAGTCGAAGGGTGTCCTTGGATCAAAAATTCGTCCACTCTAAAGCGAGATATGGCCGTGCTACAGTGATGTCACATGAATCGGGTGACTGTGCGTCGTTTTTTTCAGAGACTACGAGCGGTATTGTACATTTGGTGAACAAAGAGCACCTGAGCAATCGAAAACTCATTAGAAGCTTTTCATTCTGTGTGCAAATGCAGCTTCTGATGGAGGACGTTTAAAAAGCTCGAACGATGCTAAAGCCATAAATGTGTGCTAATGAAGCGTAAAGTATAAAATACTCGCTATATACGATCTTTTTGCTTGTTGAGACCGTGACGACATCTTCAACGCCGGTCTTTGAAGTTCCAAGCGTGAAGAGAGTTTGCTTCTCCACAGCACAGTAACTTTCTCAAGAAGGTTATAAGCGGTTTATTGATTTATAAGGTAACAAGCATTTACATCACCTTGAACGGTTTTCATCTCTCCCGTTCTCATGATATCCAAGCCACAAACACTCCCGAATCTAGATCGATTCAGTAGGCAATTTTGATTACCTTACTGAATTAGCAAGGCTTTTCCCTACCGTTTTCGTTTTTCGAAAGATTTTTTCGCGTTCATGCTTCGATAAATCTTGCCAGCAGATCTTCTTAACCGTATTTTCAGACGCTGATCCAACTGCTAGCAGCTGCTAGTAACTCAGCCACTCCATGGATTTTGTCTGGAATCAGTGGATATTCCTTTTGTTCACGATTATAACTATGCCGATTTACTTATCCATCATGTACATCACTTACAAAGAGTATAAATCTATACAACGGCAAAAGACAGCGTCGTTGCTTACGATATCGCAGGTGAATACAAACGTATATTCGGTTTCTATCCTGGTGCATCTTGCGAATAAAAGCTAGTAGAAAAACCTCCCAATGGAAACGAGTAGAAAATAAAAAATAGGAAGATAAACTAGATGAAAATAACACTAAGAGTTGTGAGGCCGATAATTTGATAGTTTTTGCACTTGACTCTTTGGGGCTGTAGTAAATGGCATATGGTTTCAATTTAGTGCATTTTCCTACGCTAGACTACATATGTATGCTATAATTTAGGCCACAGCAGATATTCTAGTTATGATAAATTATATTATCTTCATAACGCTAAAAACAACAGATCTCTTCAACGACATTTTCTGGAAATTGCAAGACTACTACATCGGCACTTGGTGTTTTGCCCAGTACTATTATTCTCTCGTCTTACGAGGGTTCGGCATTCTGCTCATAAGCATTCATCGCTACATTACCATATGCAAAAATGGAACGGTTGTGGAAAAGGTAACAAAAAAAACATGCTATCCTATTTGCAGTTTTAACGAAAGATTTTTCAGTATGTAAACTCGGACCAGAGATGGCTCATGGTGCTCTTACACTGGTTGTTTCCGTCTATTTATATGCTTCCATTTTTATGCAGAGAAAAAGTGATGTTCGATGATAAGCAACAACTGGATCTCATCCCGGATAATAGACTGATTTCAGTAAGTTCATTTCATGTCTCAAAAAGTTCTTCATTTTTTCTCAAAATAGGTCACCAATATTTACCAAATTTTGATTAGCTAGCAAATTCGGCTCCACCCGGCCCTGTCGCTAATTTCGTAATCAGCATACTCAGTCACCCCCCCCCCGTGTGCTAACTCCCAGCCTCGTAGCTCAATCTGGGCAAAAAATCGATAAAATCATTATCGATCGACAACGTAATGTAGCCTTTTGACAAACCGCCCAGAAATGTATGCGTGCCAGTTTGGTCCGGATCGGTCGAGAAATGGAATTTTCCCTTCGGAACATACGTACACACATACATGCATGCATATATATTTACATACACACAAACAGACATAAATAGACATTCAGCATAATTTATACGGATGAAGTGTCCGCTCCAATTCGAGGAAAAAAATTACCAGTGTGTACTTCTATCCTATAAATAATCTCACTTTGGGGTCACGTATTCAAAAATAGATTTTGATATATATATTTTGCGTTTTTGATATATAGTGTATACAAGCTTGAGAGTCCTCTGAAAAATGGAACTCTCAGAATGTAACGGATAAATTCACTATTTCTAAAGGCTAGGTGGTTTCGATGAAGTTTGGGTATGGACTCAGATGAAAAAGTAGTCTGCTTTCGTGTTCTTATCATCCAGTCTATCTCGCCAGCAAATCTTCCAAAATAAGAGGAACTGATTAACAGAACTGGGCGGTGCCAAGATGTACGATAGCTGCGAATAAATACTGTACTCCTGCGGTTTTTTTAATGTCTGCATATAATCGTCCTTTTTGGACCGACACTTTCTTCACTGGATTGGAAATAGTGTTCAAAAGTAGGGTTTATTATGCTCCCAGTGTTTTTTTCCAAAAATCTTAGATGTCATCATGGTGTCAATAGAAAATTTGTGGTAGTTTAAACCTACGCAATGCATAGGGCTGGCACAAGCTATCGCTCATCTTGACTTCCTCCCAGTTCGGGCCCAAAAATCATTTGAAGTTCTGTCGCTTATATTGATTTTGAGTGAACAACCTTACTCCAAAACGACTTTCAGAAGAAGGGATGAAAGTTCTGCCCAATGCAACCTAGTGGTACTACAATATGTTGTGTGAGAACTGATAGTCATTTAAAAAGCAAAATTGGTCACTGAATATCTTATTAGACATCAGTAAATTCACGGATTAATTTAGGAAGCGAACATCTTGGCCATCTCGTTTGCTGCCGTGGCCATCGTAATTTGCATCATTTGCTATGTCGCCATTCTCAGGTTCTTGTGTAAACATCGCCTGGATGATGTGTACGTATTGTATCGTATTTCAATTGAACAATTATATAACGATGCCTATAGAATTTCTTTTAGATCATTCAAACGAGAAAAATATGTTTGCGTGCAGATGGCAGGCGTTTTTATCGCATTTGCGCTTGTAGTATGTTATCATGCCATGCAGTACAGCTTTTCCCTAAGTTCAGGATCAAATGTAAATTTTCTTGACTAAGCATGCAGTCGCATAAGTACAAATAAATTTTGCAGATCGAGAAGTTGGTGTCGATGAGGATGATATATCCCTTGGTTAGCAGCATACTTTCGTATAGTACCCCTTGGATGATGATTCTCACGGTAAAGGAACTTCGACGCAAGCTATGTGCGATGTACGGTTTGGGGACTAAAAAGTCTTGTGTAAGCGTCTCAGGAGTTCACCTTGTGAGAAAGTATAGAGAATTTCTATCATTCTCCAGGTGTCTTCATTTGCCATCGCTGGTCCTCAATTTTGTCAAGCATCCACTAAGGAACGAACATTGCGCATCTCAGGCTAATGACCAAGCGCTTCGCTCGACTCAACAAATTGGCTTCTGAACTTTTTTGCAATTTCATATGAGACTCGACATATTTGCAGTCTCATAGTCTGTTGCCATTTTTATGTGGTGCTTTCTGTAAATTTTGCCAATCTCTTTCTACATCGTATGTATTTTGCGTGATTTTACTCCACGGGCAATTTTGCTTGAACATATTTGATGATCTTCTTGCTCAGGATGTCAGGGTCTTTGTAAAGATCTTGAAACTCAGTTATTCTGTCTTCAGTTCTGGAAATGAAACACTAGAGAATATTCACATACTTTTGGCTTAGTTGCGACCCATCAATGCGCACACATCAGTAAAACCTTCCTCACACGAACTTCATTTGATACTTAGCCAAAATTGAAGATAGCCAACCAAAAAGCAAATTACTCCCACGTTTAGTTTTGCTTGCGTATTGCGTTTTGCCCTTTTTTCTGCAAATTATCGAAGGATGCCGTTGGAGTGACTACCCTGCACATTTTCCGCATCAGTAGTTCTTCTTTATGCTTTAATGGGACCGCTGGGGTTCAATCGGAAAAGTGTGAACTCTTAAGGTTTATTTTTGTCTATCGCTATTTTAAGCGCTGCTTTCATAACAAATGTTGTTTTCTATAAGAATTTCAGTGCCCTTTGCTCGAAGTATTAGGGCACAAGTTTTACAACTAATTTCATAACTATTCTCTCTTTGGATATGGAGCTCTCGTTTTTTGATTTAATGTCGATTAGGTAGTTAAATACAAATGTGCGCGAACCGCTTAGTTTGTGGTGTTCGAGTGGAGAGAACATTTTCCGAGTTGGTCAAATCAGATCGCCGGGATAATCATACAATAAAGCCCTATACCGCCTGCATCAACGCATCAAGCCGAAAATATGGGTTGTTAAGATTTTGTCCAGAACTATCATTGTACATTTTCGAGTTGGTACGGTTGATTACACTACAAACTGCTCATTTTTGTTTCTTGCATAGTGTAAGTTCTGATTTAGCCAGCTTCTGAAAAATTGAAGTTTTCCCTCTCGAGCACCAAAAATCTGCTTCGAAGCATTTGTAGCTCACGACCAAGTCCATATCATATCAGAGAAATGAAAGCGCCTCATCGGAGAAGTGACATGACAAAGTTATGACATTAATTGCAAAACCTAGGTGCCAACTTAATATTTGCACAGAAATGTACAGAAAGAAAGTATGTACAGAAAAGCAGTCTGGATATCTTGATTGACGTCATCCACAGTCTTAGTTTGTTGTATTGGTTTGAAGGGCTGATCCTAACTATGATAAGGATGAGGTGCGAGGTCAACGGAAAGACAACCTTCCTGTACCCCTTCCGAAGTATTTTTATTCGACCTAAATAACCTAGGTAGCGATAAGTGTAAAGCAAAGGGCACGATGGCAACCATGCTGGAATTTTGCCGATTGACTGAGTTTTCTGAGAAAATGCGTGCACATAGTGCATATGCATACGAAGGCAGACGCGAAGTGGTGGTTCACCCGTAAACATTGATTTGGAAAATTTTGATTTCTGGCCCCTTCTCAGGAAACTAGAACTTCTGTTCAAGTTTTAGCACGCTAACGAGAAATGGTTTAGCGACTGTGCGAAGGAATGAGTAGAAATTCTATTCTTTCATTGATAAACCTCCAATCAATGTTGCGTAAATGAACGATATGTTTCAAGTTTGAAGAAAACATTTGTCTAGCGCTTCGACATTATCACTGAGGCTTCGCATTTTGCTCAGCTGGAGGTTTGTCTGGCGTCTTTGCTAAAATAAAAGTTTGAAGAGTTAACAGTTGACTTGTTGCTTACCTTTTGATGCCGCGGCAGCTGGCTCCCAGTCGTAAGGATACTCAGAAAGTGCGTTGGAATCCAGAGCATCACGAAGAAGACCGCGTATAACTGCATAGTTGGGTTTGTCATGATATTTTAGGGAATCTATGTAAAACATTATATGTATGTATTCCTTTGGGCAGCCAGCAAACAACTCTTTCAAGCCTGAACATTATATGCAAGATAGCACATTATTTATCAAAGGGGCTAATGAAGGCCCACCACTTGTACGCGATTTTTCCTTAACATTGCATATTGCAACAGTATCTTCTAGGTTTTTTCATGGCAATTCTCTCGACATCAGTTCAACCTGAAGTGGATTCTTGATTCAAGGGAAAGTCGAAATATGAAAGCTGATGCAGATTAACACTTGTTATTAAGAATTTACAAACTGGAATCATTGCAAAAGAACAACTCGGTAAAATGTGCGAAAACACTTAGAAAGAATTTTCGCTATGCAAAAGGTAGGAAGCAAAAGTTTGAAAAGGAAGCCAAATTATCATAAGAATTATATACATGATGCAAACCTCTAAGTCACGAGGCTGGTGGGTCAAAGGCGACCAAATGTATTTCATTTTCTAACAAGGAGAGGATACTTAGTCGAAAGCACCAATCCAGATGTGGCATATATCACCTTGAAGCGCTTGAAACGGTTTTGTAGAAGAAGCTATGAGGGGTGTTCCCCTCTCAAGCTGAGGCGTCCTCCAGCAGGCCCCCCTATCTATGAGCACTGTAGAGGAGTACCAACTGGTGGCAACTGGCCTAGTGGTAAGTGACTTGCTTGATAAGGAAAGTGTCAAGGTTTTTAATCCAATTCGTATGCAACTTTATCGCAATTTGCAAAATTGAGCTTCTAAATGGCTTTAGAGCCCTAAGACCTGAAATTTGTGATGATATTGATGCTAATCAAAATTAGAAGTGTTCAAAAAAACCAAAGTAATACGAGTATTATAATTGTTATTGTAATCTTCATTCAAATTACTAATACTAGGCCAGATGCCACCAATTGGTACTCCTCTACAGTGCTCATAGATAAGGGGAGACCTGTTGGAGGGCGCCTTAGCCCCAAAGGGGAACACCCTTCATACCTTCTTCTACAAAACCGCTCCACTGCTAAAAGCTACGGATTTCGAACCAGCGTTTCAAGCGCTTTAAGATGATATATGTCTCATTTGGATTGGTGCTTTCGACTAAATATCCTCTCCCGGTTAGTAACCGTGGTTTTTGCAGTGAGATGTGCACCAGTGGGTGCGCCTTGAAACGCTGATTGCACCACATTACCACTCTCAAAAGTGCAAAATTTCCGGTAATTCCGCGGAATTCCGGGAATTCTGCGAAAGTCCGCGACATTATCGAAATTCTGCGAAATTTCGGGAATTCCGCGAAACCAGGAATTTCGCGAAATCAACGCTAATCACGCAAACTATGCAGCGCCATAACTTCCTTCGGAATGAATAATTGAATCCGGAAGCAGCACTGTGTTTAGCTCGTCAAGGCGAATCTTTCTGTATGCAGCTTGTCTTCGATATTCTGTTTCCAGTTTTCTCAAATTCTTCTGCGGAGATCCTTTCGCAGAATGTAAGCAGCGCCTATCCAACGTAAAAGATACTGTAAGTGTTATTCGATAGTATTCCTTCTGTAGAATTCAGCGGAACTCTCGGTAATTTTGCACATTCTGAGAGTGGTATTGTACTTTGTGAAAAAAGTTATGATCGAGATCGATGTCTAGGGTCTTATAGCCAACAGGGCTCGGCACGAGGTGGCTAGTTGAAAATGCAAGAAACGAAGTTTCCTTTGACTTTTGTGAATTTTTACGGGGTCTCCTTTCACCCTAGACCACACCCCAAAAAATTCCTAAAAAACGAAAAGTCCACTAAATAAACGTCGCAAATTTTGTACCTTTTCGGCCACAAAAACGAAACCCCCTTTGCTTTTTGTCCCAAAAACAATATCCAGCATGCTTATAAGACACCTGTGCCGAGCACTGGTAGCTAACGCCGGGATTGGTACAAACTTTATTGACTATCGTTTCGGTTTCTCGAGACTCACCAGGTAGTCAGAACGCAAGAGAGTCTCAAGATTGGCGACACAGTACAAAGGGAAAATGCTAACATAGGATTACAGAAGAAAAAGCGACATTAGTGACAAATGTTCGCAGACAGCTCGTTCCTCTCTCGTAGAATCTTTCTCTTCTGAAAGCTACCACAATTCAAAATGCGACATTGGAAAATGACTCACATACCGTCTTGAAAGCCTGTATTGGTGTAGGTGCGGGTTTCTTACCATCTTTTTGCATGCTCTTTCTTGTGACCAAAGCAGCTTTGGAGCTACCTAGCCGGATTTCTTCCATCGTCTTTTCAATGGATTGCCACATCACTCTAATGCACTCCGGGTCGTTGTTCTTCATTAAAATCTTCATTTCTTAGTACACTCGGGAGACTACCTATACTTATTGATTAAAGTTATGTTGAATGGAGTAGTACTTACAGTGTCAAATTGGTTGAACTCTTCCTTTGCTCTGTCCTGGACATCAACTGAAGGACAGTTTTCGAATGTCGATGATGTTGTATGATGCGGATCAAAGTAGTAATCGGACGTATATGAATCAGCAGCGGGTATGATTTCTTCGGCGTCTTCGAATGCACATGGACTAGGTGGATCCAAGACCGCTATGTTTTTGAGACAGCCAATTACGCGGTGCAGGCAATATATTGCGAGCTGAAAATCTACTTCTTCTCAATCAAAAGTGTGAATACGCATCTACCTTCAGCGCTAAAGGTGGCAACCGCGTGGCGGTGGATACAGGCTACACCAGCGATGACAGATGCGGGGCATGTGCGTGTCATTCTGAATGCACATGCCCCGCATCCTTCGCAGTGCGAATCGTTCATATCCGCTTCAGATGTAGAAACACCGTTCTTCGGCTAACCTCTTCATCGCAATCGCATGCGCCAATCGTGACTTCGTATCAGACATTCTGGTGAGTTCTGGAATGAACAGCCCAGAAATCGAAAGGATGTTCAAGTCCAGTCCTATGGGTATAACGAATCGTGTGCTGAAACTGCGAAGCTAGTGAAAACACCTTCAAGAACGATCTCACCTCCCTGCCATTGTAGTAAATGAGAGCCTCCTTGTGTCGTTTTGTTGTCTGAGAATTCCTCCCAGAGCATTTTGTTGTGCCTCTGAGTACCTTTAAGAGGCAACAATGCAAGTTGCTCTCCTCTGAATGTTCACTAATTATCATTGTACCTGCGAGATATGTTTGATCTCCAGTTCGCTGACATGCTTCAATAGAGCAAAGACGAGGTGATCCACTCTGTTATTCTGCTTTTTCTTCAGTGCTTGGTGCTTGAGGGAGGCATGAAAAGTCTCAGCATGATTAGAGGTATTGAAAGGGGCACGTATGCGGTAGCAGTTAGCCCACTCAACTTTCCTCTCTGTGTAATAGTGCTCCATATACTGAAACGGATTACAGTTTTTTAGGGCTAGAAAATTAGGGTGCACCTTGTGTATAGCTGGATTTTCCTGCATTAACCATGCGAGAAAGTGCGCGTATGATTCCTCGAAGCTGCTCACTAAAGGGTTTTCCTAGCATGCTGCGGAAAACCGCAGCCACGATCGTGGGCTTCCTTGCTCTGAATGGCACCCTTGGCGGATTACAAAAAAAAACATAAATCATGTGCCCTTCGCCTAAATTTACCATGAAATGTTTTCTGAGATTTCTTTCTACGGATTGCGCCACGTGAAATGTACAAAGAATTTTTTGGGCTCTGCTCTGAGGAAAAACGCCACGGAATGCATTATAGAAGCAGTTGGTGTCATCCGACCTTATAAACTGCGGGTCAATGTAAGGGACGATGGCCTGTAATGTTCGATAAGTGTGTCTTATGTAATGACCTAGCAGTAAACACTTACTTTAACAGAAGTAGAAGTAGAAAGGCTCTCGTAACTCAAAACTAGTCATTTTCTGAGACAGAAGGAAGGCTACGGGGAAGTCTGCACCCGCGTCGTCTGATACATGCAGGGTAGCCACAAAACATGTATTTTGTCACATCGAAAGTATCATCTATTAAGAGACCCTTGTTTCCGAATTTTTCAAGGTAATTCCTGCCGAGTTATAAATGCTGAGCACTTCATATTTATTGTCAAATCAACAGCACAGACAGTAAACTGCGCAGCATAGGCACGGCTAAGATTTTGATAAAAGCACGAGTAGATAGAGATTTGAGTACAAAGGTTTAGTGATGCGGCGCGTGCTCCGCAATCTACGGGCCATTCGGACAACGACTCAAACTTTGTGGCATATTGAAACTAAAATCTCATAAATTCAGCTAAGGCCAAGACCAAAATGCACCAGCGGCATAATTTGAATCAAAAATGTTTGACTGAGTGCACATACCACTAAGCCCGATAATTTCGATAACAATAAAAAAGTGCTTTCTTGAGAGTCTGGGAACTGCTGACAAAGCTCAACAGGATACAGAAATGCCTGACCTAGTAGGAATCCTTCGCCTGTCTCGCTTCTGGCTGCATCGTAAGTGTATGCACAATATCATCACGGCCCTTCAAGAGTTTCAGAACTGATATAATGTTGTCACGACACCTCCGCTCGGCGATAAGTCCGTATTTTCCAGCGATTTCCCTAGAATAAAATTGAATATTTTGTGGTACTGCCCTGATAGATATACTACCTAAAACTCACCCCACGTCATTAACGTAGCAGATTCTGTCTTATTGAGTTCCTTCTTTTGCAGGGTCCCACCACTCCTTGCGGATTTTACTCACGATCTGCGAGAAATATGATTATGAATATTCTCAACGAGAAGAACGTACGATAGGTCCGGTGAAACCGAGCTTCAACAACTCCACAATATATTGTTCATCGCTTGCGGGAAAGCGTAGTGCGGCCGTAATGATTCTGTGATGACGTAAACAACTGCAGTACTTGTAGTGTATGAAACCTTGAGTGTCTTCAAAAATCTAAAAAAAAACATGCATTCGCTTCCAACATTTGGGCCAAATTAGCGGCATCACTTTGAGGAAAGCAGGGCAATTTCGATGGACTATCTTGCTTTTTCTGTAGCTCCGCTTCAAAATCTCAAGATCCACACCACCACCAGTACCTCCCAAAAATCTGCATCGCAAATACACTACCCTTCCCCGGGGAATACATCGGGAATGACGAGTGGAATAATTTGTATATGTTATGTGCTCGATATCGTGCAGCCATCTTAACTGCTGTTGCACTCTCTAGTTTCAGTGCAATTAGAAAATCAAACTTCAAACTCGATTCTATTCCCAAAATTCCAGTATTCACAGTGAAGTTGTTTAAACCGTCCCCATGGTGGGCATTGCAATGCATCGCTAAGTGTTCTACGGTACGGAATTTCTCGGAACAAGTAGGACAAGAAATAGTTTTGTTCACGTCACAGTGTTGGTGCATATTCTAAAGGGTATTAGATCAATGTAAGGGAAAGATATTAGTCAGTTTTCGATGTCACCTCTCTGTGTCTCCAGAACCCGCTGCTAGATAACCGTTTCCCAGAAATCGCATGGGCAATACTACTTTCCCTGGATGCTTCCCTTAGCTTCTTCTTCAACTTGTCAACGTCCTCATTTTTCATTCTGTGAACAAGGCGAGAATGTCTATATAAATTGCTGCGCTTCATCGGACCTTTACCACACTTGGCACACGTGTATGCTGTCGGGTTTCTCAGCGGTGCCAAAATTTTCAAACCTGAAAATCTTGCAAATTCCTCGAAACGAACATTTGCGCACATCTACTTCAATGTCAGTAAACCAGTTGAACAGCTCAACGTAACTTCAGCCTCTTTCACAAGCTCACATTTGTTGTGCCCTTCTTGTCGGAGATCGGAATTTTTTATTTTGGCTTGGAACTTGTTGCGGATTGAGCTTGATGCGAACTTTTGATAGAAATCTTCTAGAGCTTGTTTTGATCTGTCGAATGGTACCCCGCATTCTATTGGAAGTTCAAAAAGAACTGATTTATGTCGCTGGAAATTCAGGTATGAAAAGACTTATGGGAAAACCTAATAGTAGCAATTGATTACTGATTCACGCCCTCCTTTCGAAGATTTCCATGTTCGAGAAAAAAATTAGGCATGACAGAAATATTTTTGTGTCGATCCCCCCACCAGCCACTTTTAAACTTTCTCGGGCGACCGCTGCTATGAAGCGAGTATTCTGTTATTTCGCTGTGATGTATATAAGCTGATCAACACTTTTTTGAATCTGCTGCAGTACCACATTTAGTCTATCTGCTTTTTGAGACTGATTTCAATGCTGAGCTTTCGCATGCTGTGCAAGAACACGTAGCCTTTTTTAGAGGAATTTAAGGCAATTTTCAACAACCTGAGAAGGATGGAAGGGGGGGGGGGGCGACTCGAGGTCCACATGTTTGCTGTGACGTGCTTGTTTCGTTATTATGTTAAGTACAATCAAATACCATTTGAAATACTGACAATGAGTACATGTTACGTAACGAGCTCTGGAGCTCAAAGGTCTCTCTCTCTCTTCGCGTGGGAATGTTTTCGCTAGATGAAGTCACCGCGTAGTTTTACTTTTGTTCCCTATTGCTGACGTTGTATGGAGTATCCCCGTACTTGAAAAGTCATGTGCTTTTGACTCAGCAGCGCGCAAAATTTCGACGTCACAAGGGGATGAACAAGACATTTCTACTTCACAATGGAATTTGCCAAAGAAAGATTGAAGTGGGTGGGTGAGAGGAAAGAGAACTGAGGCACAGGAGGACTATGTTATAAGTCTGAAATATGTAATAAATATTGCTTAGTAGATTTCCTCTTTGTTTTATTGCAGTTATAGATCGAGGGAGTTATCAGGCGGTTCTTTGCATTCCCATTCACTCTCTCATATATACATATATATTGTGATGAAGTAATTCAAACAGTTTTTGCATGCATGCAATAATCTCGAGACTATACAATCATTTGCGCAGGACAAATCATATAAAAGTCGAGTTGCGCACCATTATAAAAAGCTCATATGATCAACAAAGGTCTACATATAGAATCTTGAGTGATTAACTTAAGATGTTTATTATACTTTCTTTACAGCAGATTTTCTGGAAAAGCATGCCTTCATATTTCAATTTCGAATTTGCCCTCGCCTCTTACTTGCGCACTAGTCATAGAAGCTCTTCAGTGCAATTGTACTACATCTTTATTGCATTTTGTTATTGAATTCACTTCTGTGCTTGTCTACTACTTGATTTTATTTCTCGTTCCTACTCATAACAACATATTCGGAAGTTTTTTCCTTTTTTTGTAGTTGGAATGGCAAGCCTAAGGCCCGTATGCACGTAGGGATGCGTCGTATCTCGCTACTCTACGTATCCTTCTTCTTCTTCCTCTATCTTGCCTATAAAGTTTTTCATACATTCATACCTGCACATCAGTGGCGCGCCCCCCCCCCGAGGATGGGTCGCCAAATTTTTGAAAGTTGCTTATATGGGTTATAAAAATGTGCAAGTGACTTGTTTATTTTTGTAAATAATTAAAATAATTTTTAAAAATTTTTAAAAATTCAAATTAGCCTTGTAAAAAATTTTTTTTCGGGGGCGTGGCTGACGCCACGCCCCCTTTTTCCGGATTTTCGGGGTTGGGGACCCGCAAAAAGTTTGAGAAGCACCCCTAAAATTTTTTTGGAGTGCGTGGCTAACGCCACGCACCTTCATTTGAAAAATTTTTTTGTCGCGCCCCCCCCGAGCGGAAATCCTGGGTACGCCACTGCTGCACATAATGGATGCCAGGTCATTTCCATACAAGATTGCTTTTTACCATTTTGTGTGATCCTTAGGGGATCCTCA